TGGCATATAGATGTTTCATTTTTAATATAAAAGAAATGGTCTAAATTACTCTTGAGGATCATTGGTGTTCCAGGGCAGGCATATCCTTTTTTTTCCCCCTGCGGTTCTCTGCCCTCCCTAGAACACTGCTTTGATCCAAAGCCATCTATAAACACTTGCCCAGATTGCTCACAGGAGGCAGGCTGCCTGTCTGAAGCAGGAGTATGGTCTGTTGCCTTTTGAAGCAGAGCAAAAAATCCAACACAAAAGAGAGTTAACCTAGAATAGTTGTCTCAGTGTCTCCTACAAATGAGAACTTTTTTCTTCCTAAGTATATCTGATCTTGCCCTGCCCCCATTGAACCTCTTCCTACTTTCTTCCTAATTGCTTTTCTAAATTACCAGAGTTTTGCAGTTTGCTATTTGTGTTATTCCTTCCCGCCTGTGGTTATCTGCAAACCATACATAAGCCTTTCTCAGCTAAACAGTTTACCTTTCCCACACTACACATCCATTTTAAAAATGTAAAATTGCACTTCTTGACATCACAGTTAAGAATGAAACTAATTTTTACTTTGTGAAAGTATTAAGCGAATGAGCTGTATCATCAGCAATAATAGCATAATTGGTCATCCATTGCTAGAGATGTCTGTGGGGATTTCCTGAAAATTACCACTTTCTCTTAAGTGTGTGCTATTTTAAGTTTTATTAATTGCCTTTTTTTTTTTTTGAGACTGAGTCTCAGAGTCTCGCTCTGTCACCCAGGCTGGAATGCAGTGGTGCAATCTCAGCTCACTGCAATCTCCATCTCCTGGCTTCAAGCAATTCTCCTGCCTCAGCCTCCCAAGTAGCTGGGACCACAGGCGCCCACCACCATGCCTGGCTAATTTTTGTATTTTTTAATAAAGACAGAGTTTCACCATGTTGGTTAGACTGGCCTTGAACTCCTGACCTCAGATGATCCAACCGCCTCAGCCTCCCAAAGTGTTGGGATTACAGACATGAGCCACAGCGCCCAGCATTAATTGCATTTTAGTAACTTAAAGTTTGATATACAATGTAGACTACTCTGCATTTTCTTATGTTATTAAAAATGAGCGGTTTTACTTCCCATGGCACCCCTTCTCCCTTAAACTTTCTACATAATACATCATCTACTTTATTTCCTAATCAGATGAATTTTCCCTCCAACTACATTTATGTTAAGTAAAAAAGAAAGAAAAAGCTTTTTAAGTAAGATTGGCATATTACAGGTAAAAGAAAACCACTAGGTGTCATTATAGACCAGATACTATCTAGGTATCATTTTACTGTGACATTTTGGTTTCCTGAAAGTTATGTGCTAAATGAATTTAATAAAATGAAACTTTCAAAATATTTAGGAAGCTGACTCCTTTTGTTGAAACAGAGTCTCACTCTGTTGCCCAGGCTGTAGTGCAATGGCATGATCTCAGTTCACTGCAACTTCTACCTCCCGGGTTTAAGCAATTTTTGTGCCTCAGCCTCCCGAGTAGCTGGGATTACAGGCATGTACCACCATGCCCGGCTAATTTTTGCTTTTTTAGTAGAGACGGGGTTTCACCATGTTGGCCAGGCTGGTCTCAAACTCCAGGCTTCAGGTGATCTGTCCGCCTCCCAAAGTGCTGGGATTACAGGCGGGAGCCAGTGCATTCGGCCTGGTGACTTTTGTTTTGTTTTGTTTTGTTTTGTTTTGTTTTGTTTTGTTTTGTTTAGCATTGCTTGGTAGTCTTCATGTAATACTCAGCTTTATTGTGTGTTTTTAGGATATTATCAACTCAATGGTAACAACAGTATTCATGCTCATCGTATCTGTGTTGGCTCTGATACCAGAAACCACACCATTGACAGTTGGTGGAGGGGTAAGTGGAAGTCTTTCTGCTTTCTTTCTTCAGGTTTTATCAGAATGCAAATTTACTTGGAAAACAGATGTAAGAATAGAAAGCTATACTGTATTCATCCTTGAGATTCTTAGGCCAATATACAGTGCCTAGTGGCTCAATATTTTTGTCTGAATGCTTGCCCTGATTAACGTGAAGGAGTATGATTTTATACTAGAAGCAGAATTAACCCAATAAAGAGGTTCCTACAGATTTCTTATAGGTACGTAGGGCTAGACTAGACCAACAAAAGCTACTGGAATCAGTTACAGCACTTAGCTCTGAGAAACCTGATACCAAGCAAAACAAAACAAAAAGATGGATGAGTTTCATAGCTCTCCCTTTTATAGAAAAGGATACATACCACTTGTTAAGATGAGAGAGTGTTTTGAGCTCAGTTATTTCTTGTTCAGATCCTTCAGATAGAATATAATAGATGATGTCCTTACAGTAAGGGAACATTGGCAGGGCACCTTGCAACTAAAGGATCATTTTGAACACTGCTTGAAGAGAAGCAGATCCATTCCATCAGACTTCATCCTAGAAAGCAAGCCAGAAAATGACTCAGGTAATTTAGTTATAGTTCTGATATTCTTCTGAGATTTCTCATACAAGGTTCAACATCACTTAGCTTTTCTAGGTTCTGACCTAAAGAAGTGAATTAGAAAGTTCTTAAATAAATCTTCTTACTTCCATGTTCTTTCATAGTATGAGTCACTTAGGAGAGTTCTCAGCCATATATGTCAGAACCCATGATTTTCATCTCCCTTAGGCCCTGAGCAACTTCATGAGGAGTCAGAATTATTCTAGAAATGAGATAGCTCTGTGTCAACTTCCCCCAGTTGTTTTTGAAGATAATACACATCTTTCTACTATGAAGGAGGAGGGACCAGGCATAGGATTTACTTTCATTCACTTTTTTACTCGTTCATTAATTTACTCATTTCTTAAGTGTACTTTGGCAGGGGCTGACAAAATATAGAGTTGTGCTGTTCAGTATAGTAACCATAGTTGCTAGGCAATGGGGCTACTGAGCACTGGAAATGTGGCTAGTCTAGTCTGAATCAAGATCAGCTGTAAGCATAAAAATACACATTGAATTTCAAAGATTCATTACCCCCAACAAGGATTGTAGAATATTTTGTTAATAACTTTGTTGATTACATGTTAAATGATAATATTTTAGATATACTGAGCTAAATATATTAAAATCTATGACTTTTCTTTCTTTTTTTTTTTTTTTGAGACGGAGTCTAGCTCTGTCACCCAGGCTGGATGGAGTGCAGTGGCGCCATCTCGGCTCACTGCAAGCTCCGCCTCCCGGATTCACACCATTCTACCTCAGCCTCCCGACTAGCTGGGACTACAGGCGCCCGCCACCATGCTGGCTAATTTTTTGTATTTTTAGTAGATACGGAGTTTCACTGTGTTAACCAGGATGGTCTCGATCTTCTGACCTTGTGATCTGCCCACCTCGGCCTCCCAAAGTGCTGGGATTACAGGTGGGAGCCACCACGCCTGGCTGACTTATTTTTTTCTTTATGTTGATAATGTGGCTGTTAAAAAATCTTTAATTATGTGGCTATGTTACATTGGTGACTCACATTATGCTGCTTTCAGACAGCACTGACTAGAGTGTGAGCCCTGTCCTCAAGTTGCTCAGAACCTAACACAGGAGACACAAGTGGAAACCGCTGTATATAAGTTGTTGACAGGGAGCTGCAGAGGGCAGAAAAGAGGAAACTACCTCTCTGGCAGTGGAATTGCTGTTTGCTGAGAATAAAGGAGAAAAAAAGAGAAGAGTTTCCAGGTAGAGGAGCCAATAGTGTACAGAGTGCTAGTCATGAAAAGATTGGTAGGAGGTATTCAGTGTGGTCAGAACCTAGGAGGCAGTGGCTTGAGACTCTAGGTGGAAAAGGAGACTGTGAGAGCCATGTCTGGAGCCAGGAAACCAAACTGCCTGACCACTGGATGAAGCTGACCAAACAGCATGCAAGGAATGGCATCCCCCTCCCCAACCGGGCACCAGCTCTCAGATAGCCATCAGAGAGTCTGAAGGTCCCCACGTGTTCTTGTTTATTGCTTTTATCTCAATTTTACTTTCTTAAGGCCCATTTAGAATCTTACCCCTTAAGCAGATGTAACCTAGCCTTTGAGAGTTCACTTTGGATCATCTTATTAAACTGATTAAAACATCATTCAGTTTTCTGGAGCTGCAGTCCCCATGATTTAATACTGAGCTGGTGTTAACTTTGACCTTTTCTTCTATAGAGTTTGTCAGTAGAGAAGTCAAAGAGTTGAACACTGAGGTTAGAAATATTGATAACTAAATATCCTCAGTAGGGCTTAAAAGAATACATGCAAGAGCAGGTCAAGAGATAAAAGCAAACAAATGAATTTCAGAGCCCACACTGCTTCATTATTTTTCTGCTCCCTTAAATTATCTTTTCTCTTTCTATAGGCAAGTATTTAGAAAACTTAGCAATGAAGAGAATAAGATGATCTCTGAAGTCTCTCCATGTTAGTATTAGGTGAAGCACAGGGAGCAATCCGAGTACCCTAGCAAGAGAGGAATCTGGTGGGCAGACCACTTAAAACTTGTGTGAACGACAGGAGTGGGGACCATGGTTAGGGCAGTGATGCGTGTCTTTCTTTCCAGGTGTTTGCACTTGTGACAGCAGTGTGCTGTCTTGCCGACGGAGCCCTTATTTACCGGAAGCTTCTGTTCAATCCCAGCGGTCCTTACCAGAAAAAGCCTGTGCATGAAAGAAAAGTAGTTTTGTAATTTTATATTACTTTTTAGTTTGATACTAAGTATTAAACATATTTCTGTATTCTTCCACATATTTTCTGCAGTTATTTTAACTCAGTATAGGAGCTGGAGGAAGAGATTTCCCAACTCTGCGCCCGGCTTAGAGCACTACTGTAACTTCCAAGAGAGCGCTGGGAGCAGCGGGATCAGGTTTTCCAGCTCCCCGGCCTGGGTGGCAGGGAAGAATGTGCCGGGATCCACCTCAGGGATCTTTGACTCTCTTTACCGCCTGGCTGGCTAGCAGCTCCGAGGGGTGGAGTTACAGAGATTTTGAGTTCTCAGGCTAGACGGTGGCATTGCACCCCCTGTGGCAATGAGGTGGCTGAAAGGCTGGGCTTGTCGGTGGGGCAGCGGGTGCTCGCGCCGGAGGGGTTGCCAACAGCCGTTGGGACGCGACACTGGTTCCCAGGGGAGAGCCAGCCGCTGCTGCGGCCCTGGTTCGGACGGCCAGGCCCTAGGGACCCACCATGGATCCTGGAGACGCCAAACCTGGGTCGCCCGAGGCACCTTCAGGGAACCTGAAACAACCAAAGACTGCCACAGCCCTGCCAAGTAGCGGCAGCGTAGTGAGTTCTGTACCCAAGGCACAGCGCAACGCCTCAGCGAAGACCGCATCCGGGAAGCACCCTGCAGCCTCAGTTCGCACTGCGAAGTCCGCAGCCACCGCACGTCCCCAAGGAAGTGAGGGCACCGCACCCTCAAAGAAAGCCACCACACGCCCACCCCCAACGCCCACACTCCCACCCCCAACACCCACACTCCCACCCCCAACGCCCTCTGCACACACTGAATCCAAACTCTTAAATGAGACGGCGATCAAAGAGCGTGCGGAGGGCCGAGCCAAAGTCCCGTGCGAATTCAGGGACAGCCTCAAGCGTTTTTCCTTCTCGCCCACTGGAGTATTGAAGATCCTGAGAATGGTGAGCAGAGAGCTGGTGAGATCTAGCTGGGGGATGTGGCCGGCAGTGGCCTCGGGGAAATGCCCAGGGGGTGCCAGCTCCAGAAAGCTTCCATAATTTATTTTGCCACTCACCTTTGTTTTGCTTCACCTTTCCTCCCCACCGCCCCTTGCTCCCCACACACTAAACCGTTCCTACTAAGCTTGCCTCTTTTTTCCCCCTATTTTTTTTTCTTTTCTTTATTATACTTTAAGTTCTAGGGTACACGTGCAGAACGTGCAGTTTTGTTACATAGGTATACACATGGCATTGTGGTTTGCTGCACCCATCAACCCGTCACCTACATGAGGTATTTCTCCTAATGCTATCCCTCCCCTAGTCCCCCACTCCCTACAGGCCCTGGTGTGTGATGTTCCCCTCCTGTGTCCATGTGTTCAACTCCCACTTATGAGTGAGAACATGCAATGTTTGGTTTTCTGTTCTTGCGTTAGTTTGCTGAGAATGATGGTTTCCAGCTTCATCCATGTCCCTGCAAAGGACATGAACTCATCCTTTTTTATGGCTGCATAGTATTCCATGGTGTATATGTGCCACATTTTCTTTATCCAGTCTATCATTGATGGACATTTGGGTTGGTTCGGTTTCCTCTCACAAAGGAAATTAGGGAAGCAATGAAGATAATAGGAATTTATAAGTTAGGAAACAAAAATAATAGAATCAATCAATACAAGAGCTGTCATTTGAAAGTCCTATTAAATTGATAAACCATTGGCCAACCAAGAAAAAAAGGGGGAAGAAAGGACATATATTTAAAATTAGAAACCAGAAGGGGAAAAAAATCATAAACATCAGTGAAACTGAAAGGATCTACAGGAGTACCTTGCAAAACAGATGTGAATAATTGGATGAAATAGTTGATTTTCTAGAAGAATGTAAATTACCAAAACTGATCCCAGAATAAGGAAAAATCTAAACAGGGCAGTATAAACATAGAAGAAAATGAGAATTTTACCAAATGAGTATCTTTCAAAAATGTATCAGGCCCAGACCCTTTTACAAGTTAACTCTTTCAAGCCTTCATGGGATATAATTCTGACACTACTATAACTTTGTCAAAGAATAGAGAAAGAAGAATTACTTCTGAACTATCTTTACACATTCAGTATAATACTGATAGGAAAACTTGACGGAGTTCAGAAAAAGAAAACAAAGTAGAGATCTCACTTGCATCAGAACAAAACATCAATGTATTAGCAGATAATATTCATCAGTACTTTTTGAAAATACAATACCACAAGAAAGAAACAGGATGATTCAACATTAAGACTCTATTAAAATAATTAACTATATTATAAGTAAAAGGGAAAATGAGATTATATCTATCACATTATAAAAAATTAGAAGATTATGTCACAGAACATGTGACAAAATTCAACATTTGTCCCTGATTGCCAAGAATGGAGATCAGTAAGACAGGAGTATATAAATATTCCATTGACATTGTAAAAATAAACATTTCAAACTAAGAGTCAACATATTTAAACATCAGAAGTATTATTTATTAAGTGAGGGGAAAAATGATGCCTACTACACCATAAGTCAATTTTTTCTGAAACCACTAGTCATAATTAGGAAGGGGAAATACTATTTGAAAAGAGGTGGCCAGGCGCAGTGGCTCACATCTGTAATCCCAGCCCTTTGGGAGGCCAAGATGGGCAGATCACCTCAGTCAGGAATTCAAGACCAGCCTGGCCAATATGGTGAAACCCCATCTCTACTAAAAATACAAAAATTAGCCAGGCTTGGTGGAGCTCACCTGTAGTCCCAGCTACTCAGGAGGCTGCGGCAGGAGAATCCTTCCAACCCAGGAGGCAGAGGTTGCAGTGAGCTGAGATCATGCCACTGCACTCCAGCCTGGGCGAAAGAGCAAAACTCTCTCAAAAAAAACAAAAAGAGGTAAAATATATCCTTTCTTTCAGCTAATATGATTGTATATCTAGAAGAACCCAAATCAACTGGAAACAATTTAGAGCCAGATAATTTAGTTAGGTGAGTCATTATTGTGTTAATAAATAAAAGCTTTCCTAGACAAATAACCACTTAAAATAAGAAAATATTTCAGCCGGGCGCGGTGGCTCACGCCTGTAATCCCAGCACTTTGGGAGGCCGAGGGAGGCAGATCACAAGGTCAGGAGATCGAGACCATCCTGGCCAACATGGTGAAACCCTGCCTTTACTAAAAATACAAAAATTAGCCGGGTGTAGTGGCACATGCCTGTAATCCCAGCTACTCGGGAGGCTGAGGCAGGAGAATCGCTTGAACCTGGGAGGCGGAGGCTGCAGTGAGCTGAGATTGAGCCACCGCACTCCAGCCTGGTGATAGAGCAGGACTCCGTCTCAAAAAAAAAAAGAAAAAAGGAAAATATTTCTCTTTACAACAGTAATCAAAATGATCAAATATCTAAAAATAAGTGAAATGTGATATACATACAGGAAAAAAACTTTAAAACTCTCAGAGATATTTTTTGAAAACCACTAAAATGACTGGAAAGACATACTTTGTTCTTGAGAATAACTAAATTCTGTAATTTTTCCAAATTATAAGTGAGTATTTCATTTAGAAATCCCAACTCAAATGCCAGCAGGCTTAGTCTGGGGAACTTGACCAACACAAACATGGCAGACATAAACAGTCTGAGAATTAGTAATAAGAGGAAGACTGGGCCAAACAATAACTCTGTATAGAGTGAATTGTCTATAACTTAGAGTACTAGAGAAGGAAGCAGCAATTCAATGGAAGAGAACAGTCTCAAGAGACCAAACTACATCTGAGAATTTAGTATACGATAAAGGTTGGATTGATCTGAAATCAGATCAGTGGGGATAATACTGGCATTTGCCAATAAATGATGTTGAGATAATCAGCAGCTGTTTGGAAAGAAAGAAAACGAAGGCTCTTCTACCAAAATCAATGTATATGTACTTTACCAGTATATATGCAGACTTCTTTCTAGTATGAAATATAAACTGCTAATAGTGGTTACTTTTAAGGAGAGAGACTAAGGTTGGGTTGGGGGAAGATAAATAAATTGATTTTTTTTATCCTTCTATACTATGTGCTTTTATTATTTTCATGTATTTCATTTCTTCAAAATATAAGAAATGTTAAAAATGTATGTGCAAAGCAGTATAGGCCACTGTACTGTAATATAATCATATTTATATACTGACAATGTAGATTTTTTTAAATCATGCATTAAAACAAATCCTGTTTCTTTTATTGCAGAGTCTTATCATAGGAGCATTAGCTTGTTTCATCATTGCCCAAGCCAATGAGTCATTTATAACAATCACAATTCTGGAAATCTTCATCGTCCTTTTTTTTATTCTAATATATATGCTAACCCTTCACCACTTGCTGACCTATTTACATTGGCCCTTACTTGTAAGTGTTCATTTTTACAATTCTTCAAATCCAAGCTTTGCCCTCAGCCCCAGAGTAAGGGCTCTCCTTAAGTGAAAACAACAGAGCTATCTCTCTAGACAAGGACATAGCTGAGCTGTGACAGTTAGGGTGTTGCCCTGGTCCAGAAAGATTCCTTGGACCCTTGTGCCTGCAGGACAGCCAACACACCCCTGCTCCAGCCCTGAGTGTAAAACCCCTCATTATGGCACTAGACACATGGTACTTTTCAGCTTGTCCTAAAAAAAAAAAAAAAAAATGTACTTAGTACATAAAGTAGGTAAGCACATTTCTCACCCATTGCTTGTGAAACAGTGCATGCTTCTACTTTGCAGAGAGCACTCTGATTATAAACATTCTCCCCAAAAGCAAAAGTTGATATGATGGCATTGTAGAAAATTGCCGTGCATACCCTTAAAGATTGTACAGTCAACCTGTGTGTGTGTGTTAAGGTCCCCATCACAAAGAGGTGCCGGACTATCCAGAAAAAGACATTACAGAGCCTTCTTTAATAGCTTTTCCCAGACTTCCACATTCTTTTGAACAATTGCTAAAGCTAATCCCTCAGGTCTCAGACTAGAGAGGCAGTATGGTTTTGTCCAGAGACAGCCATGGGCCTGGATTCTGGCCCTGCCACCTTACTAGCCATGTAACCTTTAGCCTCAGTTTCCCCATTTAAGAAATACGGAGAAGGAAAAGTGTGATAATAACTACCTCATAGGGTTCCTGAAACATTTAAATGTGTGCAAAGCCAATAACATAGTATGTGACACAAAGTAAACATTCTAATGTCCAAAAAGAACAGCCACCCATCAGACCCATCAGATAGCTGGGTGGCATTTGCCATTCTGTCTTGCGCTGTGAGCGATCCTAATTCAGAGCTTGGGCCTCTTCCACATCCCACTTCCTTATAGAACATTTTTCTAACCTTAAAGTCAGAATGTTCCTTTTGAGCTAAAAGTCAAATATTGTCTTCAAATCTCTGAGAGATTTTCTGCAAAGGCTGCTGAGCTCTCTCTGTCCCACAGAATGCCGAGTACAGGAAGCAGACAAAGCAAATATGAGCAACTTTGATTGAACATGTGGAAGACCCTTTTAGTTATGGAGAGGTTTCTCAGGGGAAACTCAAATCTCTGTCCATGGAAATTTTCAAGAAGGGAAGGTAAAGTAACCATTTTTGAGCATATACCATGTGCCAGACACTTTTTCATGTTACCTTATTTAATCCTCACAACAACCCAGTGAGGTTATGGTCATCCCTCACCCCCCATTTAACAGATGAGAAAATTGGATTAAAGACATTCAGTTGTCCATGGCCATATGTAGGTGCCAGAAACTCAGATATGCACCCAGGTCTGTCTGACTCTAAAGCCCAGACTCTCTCCAGACTTTACAAACTATTATCTTGTGATGGTTTTCTATCTCCATTCTCCATTAAGGTAAGAAACTCAGTGAAACTACGACTCTATGTCATCCTCAGATTCTCTACATTTTTTCTCTGTATCTTGTTTCCTCATGATTTTTTTAAAATAAGCACCAAAGGTGAATTGGTTATCCTGGTGGGTATACACAGGCCCTTGGGGGTGGGTGACTGATGGCTCCACAGCACCATCAGCTATGGTCAGGAGGACCAGAGCCCTCTGAGAAATGGACTCACGCAGGCTGGGTCCACACATAAAGCTGGAGAGGGCCAGGAGATGTCATATTTTGCTGTAGGGTCCAGCGGTAATGCCCAAGAAGTATCCCAGACAGAGGTAAGAACTAGGATCACCTGAGCATGAACCGTGAGTGTCCTATGAGAGAACCTGTTCTCACAGTGGTCACAGAAAGTTCAACCCAGCTCTTGTAGGGTTACAGGCCTTTGGTCAACTCCAGTAAAGCCAGCCCCCCTTGCTGTGTCTGTCTTAAGTGATAGTATCCTCTTTTTGGGGGATGACTATGGGAGCCCAGAGGTGATTCAGAGCCCCTGTCTTTTCCTGCTACTGTCCTCAAGAGCACGGGCCAGACCTGGCACAGCACAGGATATGCCTTGTGAGCTCCCAGGAGCTTCATGGTGGGGAAACTGTGTTACCAAGATGGTTGCCCAGTTATTCTGATGTTCAGCCCACACTATCAGGATACATAGGACACATACTGAGCAACCACACAGTTGGTCAGATGGTAAGTGATCTAATTAACTTGGGAGTTTTTGAAAAAGACTCATCAAAACAGGACCCAAATTGCGTTCTCTTCTCCTATCCAGTCCTTTCCTTTCAAATCCGCTCTTTCAGATTCTGTGAGATGAAGGATGTGTACCTACACAATTTTTCAGAGGGGCAAGTAGCTACACTGCGAGGCCTTGGCACAGCAGGAAATGTGCTAGTTTCATAAGGGTATTGGTGCTAGGAGGTGATGGCTTGGCACTTCAGAAGGTAGGCAGGCTTAGAATCAAGCTTCAGGAGTCACTTGGGACCTTATAATAAGGTCAGTGCGGGAAGCCATGGAACACACGGTCAGTTTCATACTAGAACTGTTTTGAGTCGAGCTCTGCACAGCTTCAGAGACTTGCCCACAGCTGAGAGTGCCCAACATGCAGCTACCACTTCTTTCAGCCCTTCCCTCCAGGCGAGAAGGCTTGGCTCCCAGGAGGTATGGCATTAGGGTAAGGAGTACTGACTTTAAGTGGTGATTTCTAACTTAAAGGCTCATAAAAGGATAGAGTTCCTTATTTCCCTATTCCAATTATTGTTTGACAAAGGGGTGAGGGTAAAAGTCTCTACCAGGGAGACAAAAGTGTGATACATCAGGGCTTGGACTCAGCAGGAAAGCACCAAAGAGAACTGACTGCAGATACAGGTGACCTGCTGAGATCTGTGGGCTCTGGGAGCTTTTTTTTTTTTTTTTTTTTTTTTTTTTTTTTGAGACGGAGTCTCGCTGTGTCGCCCAGGCTGGAGTGCAGTGGCCGGATCTCAGCTCACTGCAAGCTCTGCCTCCCGGGTTTTTACGCCATTCTCCTGCCTCAGCCTCCCGAGTAGCCGGGACTACAGGCGCCCGCCACCTCGCCCGGCTAGTTTTTTGTATTTTTTAGTAGAGACGGGGTTTCACCATGTTAGCCAGGATGGTCTCGAACTCCTGACCTCGTGATCCGCCCGTCTCGGCCTCCCAAAGTGCTGGGATTACAGGCTTGAGCCACCGCGCCCGGCCTCTGGGACCATATTTTGTCAAGGCCCCCTCCTCTAGACAGAGGATGGACCCATACTCAGTCTCTGAGTTGCAGCTGTGAAGGGTGTGCCGGGGACCCTGACACCATGGGGAAGGCACAGGTCCCGCTCTCAACCCCTAACCTATGTTAGGGCCTATGAGGTCTCCTCAGATGGGCTCTTGGTGTTCTTGATTCATGTGAACTCACAGAATAAATGTGTCAGCTTCCACAGCACTGGTTTTACCTGCAGACTTGAGAGTGGAATTAAATCAGTAAATAATTTAAACCCATTTTTACCAACATGAGTCTGCATCAAAGCTAGGAAAAGTGCAATTTTCCTCACCCCACACATACTCTTCATTTTTAGGTTTACCAACTCTACCCACTCTAGCCTAGTGTCAGGTACCAAGATACCTAAGAAATTATGAATTCGAATTATTGTCTTCTAAATAGCTCATATTTTAAACACCTCTACATCATAAAGAATATAATCCGGCATGGTCAGAGAAACTGAGTTCTGGTGAAGCAGATGTTTTTGCCAACAGAAAGCTATTTTTTAAAAAGAATATAATAAACATTTTAAACTAAAACAAAACAAAAAATGAAACCAATGAAAGTTGCAGTTAGTTGAATACCAGATAATATTCATTGTTTGTAAATTCCTATTACGAATACTACATTTTGTGAAACAATTCATGTTTAATGTTTTTCTTTTTTTTTTTTTTTTTTTTTTTTGAGATGGAGTCTTACTGTGTTGCCCAGGCTGGAATGCAATGGCACGATCTTGGCTCACTGCAAGCTCCACCTCCCAGGTTCAAGCGATTCTCCTGCCTCAGCCTCCTGAGTAGCTGGGATTATAGGCACGTGCCACTGTGCCTGGCTAATTTTTGTATTTTTGGTAGAGACAGGATTTCACCATGTTGGCCAGGCTGGTCTCAAACTCCTGACCTCAGGTGATTCACCCACCTCAGCCTCCCAAAGTGCTGGGATTACAAGCTTGAGTCACTGTGCCTGGCCTGTTTAACTTTTTTCCTAATATTCAGTGCTTTTTTTTTTTTTTTAATAATGAGCACTCACCATTAAGGCATCTTTCTCATTCCCACTTATAATTCTACACGATTTTAATATCTCAGAGAATAGTTTGGAAGCTTTATGGAATAATTGTCAAGAAAAAACACATTTCTCATTTTAGTCAGAGAAGGCTACTTGACCCAATAAGGTATTTAAAGGGGAAAGAAAAATATAACAAGTAAGGATGATATTTATGAGGGAAGTGGAAGTCCTCCCACACATGGCCAATCTTGGCTGCAATTTTAACACAGCCATCAGGGATATCTGTCTCTCCCCAGATGAGGCAAATAAGAGGGTCTGTGTCTGAGGCAAAAGGGAGGAGGTTAGCAGAAGAAGGCCCATGGGCACTCAAATCAGACTGCCCAAGGTCATAGCCACTTACTGGCCGAACAACCCTGGGCAGGTTGCTTACCCATCTGTAAACTGGGGATAATGAGAGTTTGTTGTGAGAATCAAATGAGATCACATATTAACACATTGGCACAGTAAGTGCTCAATAAATGTGAGCTAGCTGTAATAGAAATGTTAGATGCAAGGCGAACCTTAGCTCCAGTGGACAGTTCAGGAGAGCAATTGTTTGTAAGTAAGGACCACAGTAAACTATAATGTCCATAGTCCCACAAGGAGATAAAATTATGACAGAAAGTTAAAGACTGGCTGGGCCTGGTCTGTGGTTGGTTTATTATTATCATTATTGATGTGCTTTTGTTCAAATTGTTATAATCTAAGACCACACCTGGTTAGTGGTCAGAGAAACTGAGCTCTGGTTATATAGATATTTTGGCCAACAGAGAGCAATTTTTAAAAAAAGAATATTTGACTTTTGAAGTTTACACTCTGCTTCTCAGTTGTAAGAGTCCTTGTTCACATCTTTGACTACCTTGGTTTATACAATCCTCAGGTGTAAGCTTCCTGCAAAGCTGCAAACCACTGTACCTGCCTCAGTCAGGCCTGCCCACTATGGGCAGACCTCTCGCTTAGCCTGCAGAACCCCACTGGGACTTACTTCCAACCTCCACCAGCCCTGCTACATACCCCTGTTCCAGCGTTAACTACCAGGCACCAAAACAGTAGGCATTAGTGCCTTTCCAAGAGGCAAGTCACATTCCACAATAGGGGTCCTTGGTTGCCAACCCCAACAGGAAGAACACCTAGTTTGCAGAGAGTTTACTATCTGTTAACATTTTGAGGGCAGATACGAACCTACATTTTGATGCACTCCGACCAGCTACAAATGCCAGGCATGTTATCAGATGCTTTCAGATTCATTATGCCATTTAATCCTCAGACCCAATGAACCGCAGTCATTGTCCCCATATTACAAATTAGCAAGTTGGCAGACTGGTGATAAAATATGCCCCATCTAGGAATTGGCAGGCCAAAAGACTTCATCAACAAAAATACTCAACTGATTGGTGCTGTATCATTTTGACCCTCCAGACCCATTCCGCAGAAAATGCCAAAGATGGATTGGACGCTGCACTTCCAGACTAGGAGAATAGCTCATTTCCTCCTTATTTGGGTGTCACTGATGGGAGGCAATAGTGAGATGAGTTCTGATTCCACCCGTTATTCAATCCTAGGCAGCTGAAAAACTCCAAGCCTCCACCATGTCCTTTGTAAACGGGATGATGACAGTTCTGACTTTGGAGCCTGCTTTGTGAGGGTTAAATGAGGTCAAATGATGGACTGGGAAATGCTTGGCACATCAAAGAGCTCCATTGGAGCCATTGTGATTCCATGATAACATACACTGGATGGCAGTGCTCCTTGCTGTGTTTGGACTAGTGCACCAGGAAGATGACATTACCAAGGCAGACCATCAAGACTCAAAGACTTAAGCTATTCAGATAAGGTGTCTGGCCAATATTGTGGTTATGTTCTCTAGGCTTTTGCCTCTAGCCATACACTGCTGCCACTGACACACTGCGTTCACGTTCTTCCATTATTGTTTTGCTAAGAAAGCTCAGCCACTGCTCACCCAGGAGGGCACTGCCACCCACTCATCCTCACTCTTCATTTCAGCACACAAAGAAGCAGGTTGGGCTAGCAGTTAAAGAACTCAGGACTGGCCAGGCACGGTGGCCCACGCCTATGATTCCAGCACTTTGGGAGGCCGAGGCAGGCGGATCACCTGAGGTCAGGAGTTCATGACCATCCTGGCCAACATGGAGAAGCCCCATCTCTACTAAAAAATACAAAAATTAGCTAGGCATGGTGGCAGGCACCTGTAATCCCACCTACTCAGGAGGCCGAGGCAGAGATTTGCTTGAACCTGGGAGGCGGAGGTTGCAATGAGCCAAGATCGCACCATTGCACTCCAGCCTGGGCGACAAGAGCGAAACTCCGTCTCAAAAAAAACAAGACTCAGGACTGAAATCCAGTTAAAACGCAGAAGGGGCACAATGAGCCTGCAGATGTCGGGGCACACCCAATTCTGGCCATCTTTCAGGAAAGCAAAAAACATTCACTCCAGAATATCAGGCCTGCTCCTCAGATGAGTTCATATGCTCTTGGGACACGTGAACTCACAGAATAAATGTGGCCTAATTTCCAGAGCATTGGCTTTACCTGCAGATTTGGGAGAATAATTAAAGTGCTCATCTAAAATTTTATTTTTATGTTAAAACAAATGAGTTATGGAATAGAATGCAGAATTTACATTAAAAAAACAAGACTTTCCAAAAAAATCACATTTATGGAGAGCCAATTTGGGCTAGGCCCCTTGACCACTAGGTTTTTTCATGCTCACTTTCCTATTCCCTTTATAGAAAAAGTTGTCAGCTTTTTTTCTAATGGTATTCTTTAATGAAAATAAACCTGTTTCTACAGACAAAGTCATATCTAGGATCTTAAAATCACATAAACTCATGTCTCTGGACGATGTAAGAATTATGCCTCTGAGGGTGCCTCCTCATCTTAATCAAATGGAAAGTTTTTAAAAGGCATCTATTCTTAGATGTGTAATTGACCAGTTTTAATATTTATGAAATTATATTTTTGTGTAAACTTGATAAATTTCAATTCTTTATTACAGGATCTTACCAACAGTATCATTACAGCTGTGTTCCTTTCAGTAGTTGCCATCTTGGCCATGCAAGAAAAGGAAAGAAGGCATTTATTCTATGTCGGAGGGGTAAGTAGAGGCCTTCATGACTCCATTTAAGATCAGTATTCCGGCCAGGCACGGTGGCTCACGCCTGTAATCCCAGCACTTTGGGAGGCTGAGGCGGGCAGATCACAAGGTCAGGAGATCGAAACCATCCTGGCTAACACGGTGAAACCCTGTCTCTACTAAAAAACACAAAAACTTAGCCAGGCATGGTGGCGGGCACCTGTAGTCCCAGGTACTTGGGAGGCTGAGGCTGGAGAATGGCGTAAACCTGGGAGGCAGAGCTTGCAGTGAGCCGAGATCGCGCCACTGCACTCCAGCCTAGGCGACAGAGCGAGACCCCATCTCAAAAAAAAAAAAAAAAAAAAAAAAGTCAGTATTCCAAGACTTTGAAAAGGGAAATTGGCAGACCCCGTTATATCATTAACCAAGCGAAATCCCCACTACCACCCACTCTCCTTCTTGCACTGACTTCTTCAGGTGATATGAAGTTGCATAAACTCTGAGCTCATGAAAATCTTAATTCTAACATGCATTCTCCAAATAGGTACAAAAACAAGAGTCTGCTAAACCCCTTTTGAGACTTGTAGACACTATTTTCAAAATGTTAAGCAAGATCTTTTTGTCTATAAATAGGACTTTGATTTTCTGGACTAGAGAATTGTATTTTAAAGACAGATAAGAGAGATTGTAAGGGGGGAAAAGTGCACTGTCTAAAGTGAATAATCCAGCCTATTCAGGAAGGAAGGAAGAGGAAGGAAGGAAGGAAGGAAGGAAGGAAGGAAGGAAGGAAGCAAGCAAGCTAGCTGCCACACACTGAAGTGCCCAGTATATGCCCTGCACCAGGCGAGGCACACTCTGATTTAATCTTTACAACTCTCATTTGTACAGATATAGGAACTGAGGTTAAATACTTTGCTCTGGGTCACAAGACTGGGACAAACTGGGACTCAAAAGAAATGGCAGATCAAATGCTTGGAAGATTCAGGGGGTCAGGAGGGGAGGTAGGGCTTTGGTTCAAGAAGTTAAACAATGAGAACATAAATTAATGCAGAAAAAGGAGTTTATCTGAATTCATTCCATAATCAATAAATATCTGTCAATCCCATTGGATTGTGCCAGACATGAGCTCAGTGCTGGGGATAGAGCCCCTTCCCCTTTGGGTAAGCTCACAGATTCGCTAGGGCAAGACACCTAGGAAAACTCATTAAGCAGCCAGGAATTAAGTGACAGTAAAGAGAAGCATCCAAGGCTGTCAAGAGTCCCGGAGTGCACAGGGGAATATCTGTGCCATGGGCCCCTGGTCCCCATTGGCTGACTCCGCAATCACTCCTTCTACTGCCAGGAGTTCCCACCCCCAGTTCTCCATTTCTTGCCTGGAGGGCAGCATCCCACCACACCCCTCACTGGTCTTCCAGCCTCCAGCCTGGTTCACTTTCCATTCACCTCATGGCCACTGAAAGTAGGTTTTCTGAGTCTCACACCTGACCTCTTTGATAGAGTCCCAGATCCTGCACCTCTCCAGCCTCAACTCTGCCCACTTCTCAGCTGGCTCCAGAGGTCCTAGGCACACCAGATTCCTTAGAGACCCTAGTCCAGTGCCTGGGTTCTCCTCCTCCCCTTAGGAATTCCTTCCTGCCCTTTGCAAACATAGCCTAAAAGTCTTTCCACGGAGAGGCCCTTTCAGGACCTACCCCTACCTGCAGCCACCTAGGGCCACTGCCCTTCCCTAGTCCTTTCCTGGTGCCTCAGACATCAAGCGAGGCTATAACTGGCAACAAAATCCCCCATTTCCAAAATCCCTTTTTCTGGGTAAGGCAGAGTGGGCCTGCAGCAGCCAACTGGGCAGGCGGCAAGAAAGTAGTATAGGGTCAGAGAGGACAGGAGGCCGCCCGCAGCGCCCACCCTGGATAGGGATAGGTTCAAGGGGTTGCTACCGACCTGCAAAATAACCCCGGTCTTTCCTTCTCGCATATGGCCTTGTATCTGACAGTCCCTGTGTCTCACAGCGGTAATCGTGTGTTGCATCGATGCGTTTGTGGTCACCAAGATGATGAGGACTAACTTGAAAAGATTTCTGGGAATCGAATTTGAAAGCAAGCTTTCCCCCGCCAAGGACGCCTACCCCGAAACCGGCCCCGACGCCCCGCAGAGGCCCGCCTGAAGCCAGCCCCGCGCCCTAGCAGATGCACGTGTCTGTCCAATCTCTGCCTCCGAGCCCACCCCCGAGCTCGCGTGCTGTCACCCATTCCGGCCTAAATGTGACCATAAAATTAGGGCTACTGCTTTTATTGAGAACACCTACTTCCTCTCTTTGCCTTGTGTAAAAGTCGTGTTGTATTTTCCTGCGCAAGTCGCGTTGTATTTTCCTGCGCGTGGCGCTGCGCCCGCGGAGCTCAGGGTGGTGACCCGGTGCTCGCAGCCCCCCGAACCGGCAGCGGAGCGGCGGCTTACAGACCTGGGGCTGCCTGGAGACGCCGGGATGGGACCGCGAGGGCAGCTCCGCGCCGAGGTGGGACCAGCGGTTTGGGAACGGAGGTGGGGCCCGTCGGGGGCCGGCGCGTGGAGGGTGGGCGGATCCGGCCACTGCGGGGTGGATGGGAGCTGCGCCAGGAGACGGGCGCGCGTGGAGAGGGCGTGGGAGTTGGCATTCGGTGGTCCTGGCAGTTAGCTGAGCGCGCCCTCTGAGCCGCTCGGTTGACACCAGGCTCTCTAGTAGGCCTGGCCTACCCAGAAACAGCAGGAGAAAGAAACAGGCCAGCTGTGAGAAGTCAAGGACACCGAGTCAGTCATGGCACCTAAGGCAGCAAAAGGGGCCAAGACAGAGCCAGCTCCACCTCCAGCCGGGGCCAAACCCCAGGAGGACAAGAAGGACGATAAGGAGCCATTGGACAAACCTCAAAAGTTGGTGCAGCCCAAGCACGAAGTGGGCACGAGGAAAGGGTGTCGCCGCTACCGGTGGGAATTAAAAGACAGCAATAAGGAGTTCTGGCTCTTGGGGCACGCTGAGGTCAAGATTCTGAGTTTGGTGAGTTAGACTGGTATCCCTGGATGGGGGGCTTTGGCTGAGGGTGGGGAGAAGGAGGAGTAGGCTCCAGGGGTCCTCAGAGAGATGGTGAGAGGCCCTTGCTGCTGGCTGAGGTGTCTATGTCTCACTGCAGGGCTGCCTAATAGCGGCAATGATACTGTTGTCCTCACTCAGCGTGCACCCCATCCTGACGCTTATCATCACCATGGAGATATCCATCTTCAGTTTCTTCATCATACTGTACAGCTTTGCCGTTCATAGATACATACCCTTCATCCTGTGGCCCATTTCTGTAAGTAAGGGGCGATGGGGAGTGCCTGAATCCAGAACGCTGATTATGTGTGTGTCTTGGCACCTGGAAAGTCACAGAAGGGAGAGACACACCCCACCTCCCATATCTGTGCCTGGGTCAGGGGCTCACAACATCAGTGGGGCCCAGGCAGAGGCAGCTGGGTGCAAGACGGGTAGCTAGGCAGAAAATGCTCCAAAAAAGCCCGTGTGTGTGTTGGAGTGAGAGTGGGGAACTCTTACCTACCCGGTGGTCAAAGAGGGCCTGAGCCTTTGTTCTCTTTAGGGAAAGGGGAGGTGTAGCAATCAGTTGTTCCTCCGAACTCCTGTGCCAGCTCACACTTGACAGGAAATCACCCCAGAAGGACCCCAATCCCAAAATTCAAAGAAGAAAATTACTCTCCTGTAAGTCAATAAAATTAGACAAAAATGGGAATTTTTTTTTTAAAATCACTTCTAAAGCAGCGTTAGGTCTCCAGTGAATATCCCTATAAAGGATGCTTGGATCAGGATGTTCAACCCAAAGCAGTCATCTAGTGGAATGAGACAGAACTGAGCAAAGTACTCATTCCTAGCCTGTTTCCTCATCTGTAACATGGGGACAGTCATATTCCTTGCAGAACTGACATTCAATCCTGAGGATTAAATATAAATTGCTTTACGCTGTGCCTGAGGACTCATGGAGTTGAATCCCTCACCTGTGTAATCACAGGGCACACCCACCTAACCCCTTGCCAGTCAATGAAGACCCCAATTCCCAAGTCCCTTTGTTCATTGCACATTCACAGCCTGCCTCCAGAGCCCTCTTGTTCACTGTTTCACTCACGTTACACTTAAGGAAATTGGCTTAGAATGGCCAAGTAACTTGCCCCCAGCTCACTCAGCTGGTAAGTAGCAGAAAAAAGCTTTGCACTTAGCTTTATGAGTACATTTCATCCTGCCTTCTTGTTAAAAGCTATTAGGGTCCAGGGATCCAGAGGTTTTGGTGAGGTAGATGAGGACCTCCAATACAAGGAGAAAGGACAGGAGGGCCACATAAGGACTCTCAGAAAAGGGACAAGCAGAGGACAAGGTAAAAGGACAGGCAGAGGACAAGTTCCTAAACAAGGAGCCTGAGAAGACATTTTTAGTTCCAGCAGGATGAAAAACCAATGAACCCTGAAAATCTTCCTGCTGTGCTTATCTAAAAATACCAGGGGAAATGTAACCAGTATTGCTTTAACTGAATGAATGGTGGGCAAAAAAGAAATGAAAACACAGAGGCGCCAGAAATGGAAAACGGGGCAGTGATCACATAAGCTGCAAAGTATGAGTGGGAATGGTCCACGAGGTAGTGTCTCAGGAACCTACAGCATGAATTTTCATGCACTCTCAAGTCAGGAAATAAGGCCTTGATCCTAAGCAAAGTGGGAATTTAGAACTGAAAATCCTGTATAAAGCCATCACCCTGGAAAGACTACCCCCGAGGGAAAACATGGACAAAGACACATACCCTTCTTATTCCCAACACAGAGGAATAAGAAAACATGTTCATATCTGCCTGAGTGTTGAGTGGGCAGAGAGGAAGTCTTCCTTGAGAAATAGAAACCTTAAGCCTGCCCTTTGTACAGATTGGAGTTTGAATTTTTGTTACCTGCAGCCTAGAAACCTTCATGTAGCCCAGAAACCTTCATCCCTGGGAATTGCCATAAAAATTGATCCCAGTCTGATGACATTCTGCTGATATCCTCGGACTCCTGATAGAAACAAATGCAAAATCACAATCAGGGCATGAAGAGATTCTTACAAAGGGGCGGGGGGGAAACCTTGTCAAAAATGAACTAATAATTCAAAACTACAAAACACCTAATTTTAAAAAAAATCCCCATTACTTAGAATCAACAAACACAACAGATGGATTAGAATCCTGAGAATATGAGATAATAGAAGAGCTATCTGAGAATAATAACATATTTTAAGTGATTATAGACATAAGAGTCCTGAGAAAAGAATAAAACACTATGAGGACAGAATAGACAGATTTTTTAAAAGTACAGTGTCTAGAATAGAAAATATAGTTATTGAAATAAAAATGTCAGTAGATGAACTCAAAAACAGATCAGACATAGCTGTAGAGGGAACTGTTAACTGAAAGGTATGGGGAAATTACCCAGAACATAGCACACAGAGAGAAAGAAAATAAGAAAGAGATTGAGACAGAACATGGAGTGAGAACATCCATCAGGGTTGTCGGGCTGGGTGTGGTGGCTCATACCTGTAATCCCAGCACTTTGGGAGGCTGAGGTGAATAGGTCCCTTTGGTCCAGGAGTTTGAGACCAGCCTGGGCAACATAGGGAGACCCTGTCTCTACAAAAAAAAATTTAAAAATTAGCCAAGCATAGTGGCACATGCCTGTCGTTCCAGCTACTCAGGAGACCAAGGTGGGAGAATGACTTGAACCCAGGAGGTCAAGGCTACAGAGAGCTCTGATGGTGCCACTGCACTCCAATCTGAGTGACAGAGTGAGACCCTGTCTAAAAAATAATAAAAGAGGTATCAAGAAGCTAGGCACAGTGAGTTGTGCCTATAGTCCCAGCTACTCAGGAGGCTGAGGCAAAAGGATCTCTTGAGTCCAGGAGTTCAAGGCTGTAGTGTGCAGTGATCACACCTGTGAATAACCACTGCACTCCAGCCTGTGAAACAAACAAGATCCTATCTCTTAAAAAAAAACAAGCAGGGGGAGGGGTTGGCATGTGGTTCACGCCTGTAATTCCAACACTTTGGGAGGCCGAAGTGGGAGGATTTCTTGAGGCCAGGAGTTCAAGATAAAGAAAAAAACTTCAACAAAAATTTTTAAAACTTATTAAGAGAATAGATGAAATATTCAAGAGAATGGAGGTCAAGAATAGTGGCTTACACCTGTAGTCCTAGCACTTTGGGAGTCCAACATGGGAGGATTGCTTGAGCCCAGGAATTCAAGACCAGCCTGGACAACATCATGAGACCTTCCGCTTGTCTCCACAAAAAATCAGCCAGGCATGGTGGCATATGCCTGAGGTCCCATCTACTCAGGAGGCAGAGTTGGGAGGATCGCTTGAGCCCAGGAAGCTGAGGCTGAGTGAGCTGTAATCCCATCACCGCATTCCAGACTGGGAGACAGACAGAGATCCTGTCTCAGAAAAAAAAAAAAAAAAAGTAGCAAGAATGGAGAAGAGGAAATATTCATACTGATAATGACTGAGAACATTCCGTATTTAATGAGAGTGGTGTCACTGAAAAATGGCATAATAGGGAACTCCAAAATTTTGTCTCTCTACTGTAGCAATGAGTAACCTAGCAAAAACTGTCAGAACTAACTTATTCAGAACCCAAATCTAATTAAAAACTTAGAACAGCCAGAGGAGTGCTTAATGAAGGAAGAAGCTGCTGGATTTTGGTAAGAAACGACTGTGCACTTTAACTTACCTGCTGGGCATCTCTTACCCCCACAGCTTGGCAATGGCTATGAAGACAGCAGCCCAAATTCCTGGCGAAGCCTGCTAGTGACCAGCATAAAGAGCTATTTTCGTGTGTGTGTTGTGAGACAGGGTCTTACACTGTCATCCAGGCTGGAGTGCAGAGGTGCAATCGATATCTCATTACATTACAGACTTCGTTCTCAAAGAATTATGGTTGTTTGTTTGGACCTGTCTGATGATTACCTAAGAGATTGGTCCAGGGACTTGCCTTTGTTTCACCTGCCTCAGAACTTTTTCAGGGATGAAGCAGCCTCCCAGGTAGCATTTGTCAAAAACATTTAAAGGGAAATATACTTGCCTCACCCACTTGAGACAAGAGAAAACAAGTGAGTCAAGCAGTAGACAGACCAGAAAGTCTGGGAAGAAAGAGACTGAGAAAGGAGATATATTAGGGAATCTAGAAGACTACACACATTCCCAGGGCTGGACAAATACTCAGAAATGACCTAAGAAGACCCTAAGCTTCCACCTTTGGTCGACCATTAGGCTCTGCACAATCAGGAGGTGAGAACTACGACAGAGTTGTAAACAGCCTGGCCAAATGTTGATAAAGTGCCCCAACACAGAACCAACCTGCAAAGACCAGTAATGTTTTTGTTCATTTGTTTCCAAGCATTTAGGGAAATCTCTGTCAAATCACTAGCTGAGGCCGGGTGCGGAGGTTCACGCCTATAATCCCAGCACTTTGGGAGGCCGAGGCGGGTGGATCACGAGGTCAGGAGATCGAGACCATCCTGGCTAACACAGTGAAACCCCGTCTCTACTAAAAATACAAAAAATCAGCCGGGCATGGTGGCAGGCGCCTGTAATCCCAGCTACTCGGGAGGCTGAGGCAGGTGGATCACTTGAGGTCAGGAGTTTGAAACCAGCCTGGCCAACATGGTGAAGTCCCATTTCTACTAAAAGTATTTAAAACTTAGCTGGGCATGGTGGCGGGTGCTTATAATCCTAGCTACTCAGGAGGCTGAGGCAGGAGAATCCCTTGAACCCGGGAGGTGTAGGTTGCAGTGAGCTGAGATCGTGCCACTGCACTCTAGCCTGGGCAACAAGAGTGAAACCCCGTCTCAAAAAAAAGCTGATGTAGTTTTGTTTGGTTTTTTTTCTTTTTTTTGAGATGGAGTCTCACTGTGTCGCCAGGCTAGAGTGGATCTCAGCTCACTGCAAGCTCTGCCTCCTGGGTTCACATCATTCTCCTGCCTCAGCCCCCCGAGTAGCTGGGACCACAGGCGCACGCCGCCACGCCTGGCTAATTTTTTGTATTTTTAGTAGAGACGGGGTTTCACCGTGTTAGCCAGGATGGTCTTGATCTCCTGACCTTGGGATCTGCCCACCTCAGCCTCCCAAAGTGCTGGGATTACAGGCGTGAGCCACCGCGCCCAGCCAAAAGCTGACATAGTTTTAATACCAGACTAAACCAATTTTATATATAAAAAAAGAAGATCACTACATATAGTAATTTTGAACTTGTGTGTACCTAACAATATAGCCCCAAAATATAAAAGCTAA